CTGCTATTCAAGTACGTGAACAGACAGTTAACGTTTGCCATATTCTTCACACTACTGACCATCGCATCGGCAGTTATACCACTCTCACCGTACATCTGGGTACTCTACTTATGCGCCTTCACCATAGGGCTGGGATCGGCGGTATATGGCAGCACTACCACGGTGTGGACAGTTGAGCTAGGTCGTGGCACTACCGTACCCATCGTACAAATATTTGAGCTGTCCTTTGGCATAGGGAGCATACTGTCTACTCTAGCCCTTAAACCCTATCTGATTGGTGAACCGGCGGTCACTCCTACCCCAGTCTCGGACACTGTTTTGGTGCTTAAAGAGAGTGATGTGATCGACAGGCGCTCCCGACTTATGACACCTACACTATTGATCGGCTCCTGTATTATAGTTAGTAAGTGTTGATGTTTTTGCATAAATAAACATGCTACCAATTATTTATTGCAATTATCTTACATTTAACTTATGATAATGTTTGTTCAAAATTATAATAACATAATTTTTATTATGATTTCAGTCCCGATCGCACTGTTTGTGATGTATTTCCTAAAGCCATATAAAGAGCCCAAACTTAAGGACGAAGACATTTACGACGACAACAACAATACCACCGATGAAGTGATGGACAAAAGCAGTGATAATGGGATTCAATTGGTGCCGAAGAAGTTGTTCAACCGGAAGGACACACCGCGAAAGACAATGCGATTGCTGTTTGCGCTGGAGTTTGCGCTATACCTGGTGTTTGAGACGACGTTCAACAAGTTTTCGGTCACTTATTTCCAGTACTCACCGCTCAAACTGAGCGCCGAAAAGGCCACAGAAGTCTATACCGTAGCCATGAGTGTCTATACGGCTGGTCTGGTACTCAATATACTCTATCCATATAAGTATGTATTATACCCCCTAACATACTTCACCCCACATTTACACCTAGAGTTGCCAAATGTCCACGAGTTACACATCTGTCAATTTAACACATACTTCTATTTAATTATAGATTGTGAATTAATTATTAAAAATTTACATTGCTTAGATTTCAAATCAAAAATATTATATGCGTTCATTACATCTTGGTCATTGTGGGCGCGTTACTACTAATCCCGGGCCGCACATCAGTGCCGATTATGTGGACGGCTATGGTTATCATGTATATGGGCTTTTCGGCCATGTATTCCGGTATTATAGCCATCACCGAGCAGTTTGTCGATATGACCAACCAATTGAGCACGGTGTTTTTGTTGCTAAGGGGTATATTAACACTGATCACACCGTTTATTGTGGGAGATTATATTGAACACCATTCAGATATTTTTCTCTATGTTGAGTACTTTTATCTGGCTGGGGCTGTAGTGCTGTTTTCCAGCATAATGTTTATGATTAGAAAGTATTCACATTTAACCTGTGGTAATTCTACGAGGGTAAATAATAATTAACCAAAATGTATTTGATATATTGCTTTGATTAAATATGTTGATTATATTTTATTTGTTAAATATTAATTGTTGATAATTATGAAACATATCATTAACCTTGCACATAATTTTTCCAAACTGTATTCACACTATATTTTATGCAAATAAATAACATTTTATTTAAAATCTGAATAATTTTAAGTCATGTTTATAAGAGTGTAAAACAGTTTTAAATGTAGTGCAATATAAAACGACTACAAAAAGAAAGTACCATAGTACAAAAACAGAGGTATATTCTGTTATGCAAAGTAATGATAATTAATTGTATGATTGATTAAAAGTCCTTTTATTATTTTGTCATTTATAATACAATAAAATATAATAATATTGATATAATAACTTTTTAATAATTACATTATCATGCAATTTTATTTATAACATTACAATAAAATTACAAACAGAATAATAAAATTCGCTTAAAATATAACAATAATTGTATTACAGTAACATTAATTATTAATACATGATTAA